GACTAGGCTGCTGATCAACTGAAGGCTGTCTTCGTGTCATTCCTTCTTCGCCGACTCCGTTCACACCTTTGGGGGCCCCTGGACCCGCTGGGATTGGACCCCAGCAGGAAAGGAAAGAAGAAAGAGAGAAACATCAATGATGACAGACAATCATTGTTTGACTGCATCCTGCATGCCTCACACTAGAGATGTTGTCAGCAACCTGAACATGTGCCCTGACCGGGAATGGAATAGTGACCTCCTGGTTCATAGGTCGACGCTCAACCACTGAGCCATGCTGGCTGGGCTGCTCCTGCACTTTCAGGATTCACAGAGCTCCCTGTGTACCTGGGCTCTGGTCAGTGCGACTTTGGCAACATAATAGGTGACCAGGCCCCAGCCCTTCCCTCACTTCCCTCTGACATCATAGCTATAGGCCTGTCCACCACGATGCTCTGAAGCTCAGGGGCCCCGGGAGGTTCCCTCAGCACAGGTGTGAGCTGTTGGAAGTGGTCCTAGGTCAGTGCTCAGTGTGTCTCCACCTGACAGAGGAGAAACCTGCACAGACTGACATCATACGTGGGCACTGCATGTGAGTTCAGGAGAGCGGCTGAGGTCACTTCATGCCACCTGAGTGGCCCTTGCCCTGGCATCTCAGGAGGGCCTGGCACAGGAGATGGGCATGAGGGGATGATGTGAGAGGCTGGCAGGCAGAGGCAGTTAGGGGCAATCAGGGAGGCAGGCAGGCAAGTGGTTAGGAGGCAGCAGTCCTGGATTGTGAGGGGGTTCATTTAAGGCAACACCTACCACAGGGGGAAGGAGAGGGCAGACACATCAACACGAGAGTCTTGTGCAGGCCCCATGGGGTGAGACTGTGGGCGGCAGAGGACAGAGGGTGAGGATGGTGTGATTCTGCGGAGCGAGAGGCACAGCAGAGGTGGGTGGGACCATATCTCCCTTCAGCAGGTTCTCAGGATGCAGGTCGTTTCCCAGGGGAAGCGGACAGGTGTTTGGACATGTCCCCCAAGACCAGGTTCTGAGATCCATGGGGATCAAGGCCCAGCAGGCCTGTGACAGGGCCAGTAACTGGGCCTCCTGCCTGCCTCTGTCCGGGGACACTCTGGGAGCTGGGTCCACCTCCCAGGCTGACGAAGTGGCAGCGACCACAGGGGTCAGACCCTAAACTTCCATGTGCAGCCATGTCAGTGAGGGGCAAGCAGCTAACTGCTCCAAAGGGCTCCTCCTGGGGCAGAGAGAGGGGCTGATCATCCCTGGTGAGGTTTGGGGCTTGGACTCTGTGTTCCCTGCTCAGCACTGCATGGAGGGTGGGGGACATCGCTCTCAGTGAGGGGAAAGAAATCTCTACAATGTTTTCCGTGTCAACCAGAGAGCAATCATTAGGGACATGGTGACAGGAAGGGCTGAGATGAGAAGTCGACCAGATCTGGAACACAGCCACTTCCTGCTTTTTTCCTGCAGAGACTCTAATTAAAGACACAAAGAAGGAAGCAGGAACTGCTCCAGGGACACTAGGAGGAAAGAAAAAAATTGATAAAAATAGGAAGCCAGCACAACCCCTCCTGGGACAGCCTCAGAGCTGAAACCCTGGGTTTGCTGGTCCTGAGAGCCCCCTGGTGACCTGAGAGCCCAGTGCTACCCAGCCCTGCTGTCTCCCTCAGGAAGGTTAGTGTCTGGGCTCACACTGACTTCCCCTCACTGTGTCTCTTGCACAGTAATACACAGCTGTGTCCTGGGTGGTCAGGGAGCTCAGCTGCAGGAAGAACTGGTTCTTGGATGTGTCTCTGGAGATGGAGGTTCGGCTCGTGAGGGAGGGGCTGTAGGCAATGTCTCCACTACTACATATGTGCCCCATCCACTACAGCCCCTTCTCTGGGGGCTGGCAGATCCAGCCCCAGCAGTAACCACTGGTTGTGATGGAGAATCCAGAGACAGAGCAGGTGAGGGAGAGGGTCTGTGAGGGCTTCGCCAGTCCTGGGCCCGACTCCTGCAGCTGCACCTGGGACAGGACACCTGGGACAGAGAGAACACAGTGAGTCCTGGGCTCAGATGCAGGGTCCCCATCTCCTCACATCTAAGAACTGAGTCACTCACATCTGGGAGCTGACAGCAGGAAGAGGAAGAGCCACATGGGAGTCATGTCTTGCAGGTGAGGTCCTCGTCCCCCAAAAAGTATTCTCCAGGGTGAGGAGGCCCTGAATTTAAGTGGACGCCAACTGTGTGTGTGTCTGGTGGCACTGTGTGCATTTGCATATGGGAGGTGTCTGTACATATAAAAGGCAAGAGGTGAGGGAGGTTCTGGTCTCTGGGGCTTCTCCTGGAAGGAGGTGCTGACTGTGCCCTCAGAGAACCAGGCCCTCCTTGGGGTCCTGGTCACCGTGCCCAGGGACCTCTCTTTCCACACCAGGGGCTATGCTGCAGGAGGGGGTCAGGAAGTAGGATGTGGGCACAATCAGTGACTCCTTAGGGATAAAATAAATGTGCCTCTGCTCCTATGGATCTAGATATAGAAATAGCTCTAGACAAAATAGATATAGATATAGATATAGATATAGATATAGATATAGATATAGATATAGATATAGATAGACATAGATACAGATCTTTTTAAATATATATATATATA